TATTCATGAAGACATATGCTAATACTGGTTCCTGCTAATTTCCATTTTTATTTTTTCAACATTCTTTCCCCTCAATAGTTCAATTTATGAGTTTTGCCCATCCAAAAAGCTTAGTGTTAGACTATTCCAGATCCCTTTGGTAAGTCAAGGCAGGAAGACTATGTTATTTACTTGTGGGGTCATTTGAAAGCCATCTGACATCAACTCTGTAAATTACTTCCATGTTGTAATTTAAAAGTCATGTGTTTCAGTTAAGACAGATGTRTGGTACATCGTGAATACCATCAGAATAAAGTATTTGAAATCAACTTATTTTACAAAAATAACATGATTAAATTTTAGCATCAAATTGAATAGTGTCCATCTGTGACTGAAATCATAATTTCAATTTTCAGATGTGTTAAGGGACAGCTGCTTCTAAGGCCCAAAAGTCTCTRAGGGGCTGAAACGGATCCACAGCACACTACTCCTTAGCTGATACATGAAATAAGAAAAGGGGAAGGAAAATCTTCCCCTGTTGGGTAAAATCGATTTTTTAAAAAGAATCGTTTCATTAGTTAAAAATTTTTTGGATAACAGCTTGAAATAAAAGTTCAAATTAAATTTAGCTATCTTTTGCATTCCCAAGCTGTGGGTCTGTTGTTCTCTGAAATGTCAGCAAGTCTTTCATCCGTGTTGAGTGGTTTCTCATATTGAGATTAAGTAGCTTTTCAATAGTGCTGGCTAAGGCAGCAATCCAGTCTCCCCATCCCGGGTTTTGCAGGCCCAACTTCCTCTTCTCAGACCGCCACCACCACTGCCTGGCCAAACTTCAACCAGCAAGGGGAGCCTGTCCCAACCCGCAGCTCTTCTGCAGTAGCCTAGGTGGGGCCCTGGCTGTCTTTCTTCCCCAGGGCTGTGCTCCTGCGGGTGTGTGGAAAAAGGTGTGGGTCACCTGGGAAGAGCTTCCCTGGCACAGGGCTGGCTTCTCCAGCACCAGGGGGTGAGTTAAGTGGGAAAGAGCTTAGCTTCTGAGGGGAGTGGGGCCAGTCCTGTGCAGAGCTCAGGTGTAGGTGCTGAGGTGAGGCCGCGTCCACAGGACCGGGCTGTCCTACGGCCCTTTGAATCAGCGCGTCCCCCATGGAGCTGAGCAGGCCGTTTCCAAGAGCTACATAATAAAAAGTGAACAGGTGAAAGTAGCTGTTGATTACTTTTATTCACCCCAACATATCCAAAATATTACCATATCCTATGTCTTGGAAAAGTCCATGTTTTTAAATGATCAGTGAGATCTTTTACTCTTTTTGGTACCAAGTCTTCGAACTGCAGTCCTATGTGCAAAGCCTGCCTCCGTCKGGACAGGCACGTGTCCAGTGCTCAGTAGCCACCCATGGTTAGCCAGGTCCCCGTCTGTGCTGTGTACACAGCCCCCGAAATGACCGTTCCTTCCCCTCTTTACCTAATAGTARCCAGAAATGTCCCCTGACACGGGGAGTAAATTCTAGAGCCAGGCAAACAGGCAGTAGTCTTCCTCCAAAGCGTAGGTGGGGCTGTGGCAGGCAGCAAAAGCAGCCCTCACCGTGCTTCTGCCAAGAGAGATGGGGGCCGTGCCTCTACCAGGTCTCAGGTTCCCCCGGCCCTCCAGCCTCACATTGGATACCACACCTGAGCCTGAGCAGCCGCAAAATCCCCCCCCACCCCCACCAAAGAAGGCATATGCAAGGTCACAACTATGGTTCCCCCACCCTGGGGAGGGGCAGTCTTGGAGCAGGGCCACCTGCCCCTGCTAACCACCCAGGTGAAGCTCTCCGCACCTTGCTGACCAGGGTTCATCTCCCGTCTTGAGCTCCTGGCTTGGCCTGTCTGGGGGATGGTTCCTGACAATCCTGGTTCATGGGGGCTTGGGGCCGGCTTCTCTGAGCCCAGTGGAGGCGCCCCTAGATGGGGCAGAAGAGTCAGTTACCCAGCCAGGTCCTGCACTGTCTGACCTCTGGCCTGCCTCCTCACCCCAGGGCACCCTCTAGCCTGCCAGGTGGAGAGCCCCACACAGGTCAGAAGACAAAGGCAGGCTCCCGGCCTCTGCTCTCCTTCCTCACATACACACCCAGGCCACCGCACACTTCTCCTCTCCCGTCTGGTGCCCTGTGGTCAGTGCAACCCAGCCTGCCGCCTTGGCCATCCACCCAGGAGGCCCCTGCACTTGCAGCCCCCAGGTGCCCAGGGTGCTTTGCGCCCACAGGCCTTTGTTCCCTGGCTTGCAGACAAACATCCCTGGCTTGCAGACAGGGGCAGCAGGCTTCCAACTGGGGCAGAGCTACCCTAGCTGGGCTCACCCAGGGGCCTAGGGCTGGCCCCGCTGGTCCCCAGCACCCTCCGTCCACCCGCCCTCCTACCAGCAGGCTGGCCTCCCGCTGCTCCTCTTGTCAGTTTCATCCCAAAGAGGAGCTTTGCCCTCCCCTTAGTGCAGGTGTTGCCTGGTTACTGGGGAACCTTTTCACCTTGTGACCAAGCTAAAGAGCATCCCAGTACAGACGGGGCTCAGCCAAGAGGCCGGGATGTTAACGGAAGAGGCGCCTCCCTGTAAAGGACAAATACAGCCTTCCTAAAAGGGGGGCCAGACCACGCAAACATGCCCCCAGCCCCAAAGCCACTCTGGCTTCTCATCGGCTGTTGAAGAGGACCCTGAGCGGGACCCCGAGCAGCATCCCCTAAGCCCTGGTTAATCCAGCAGAGAATGATTACAGCAATTTTATAATGTAAATTTGTTTGTGATATGTTTTTAGTCTTTAATCTCTTTTGGCATCCCATTTGAAGGGATGGAGATAGAGGGATTTGCTCTGTATTAAATCATTTCTCCAACAATTGCCTCTTTGGACTTGTGGCCCTGGCCACTGTGTTCCAATACCCCAGCAAGAGTCTGTTCTATAAAACTGGAAAGTTGATACACGGTTGCAAATTTAACCCTGGAAGAGCAAAGCCCGGTTGCTGCTAATGCACGGAGGTCAGGGGGCGAGGAAAGAGACCTGGGATAAAAAGAGGTTGACTGTGGGGCTGGGGTTGCGGCTCAGTGGTGGAGCACTCGCGGAGCACGTGTGAGGCGCTGGGTCCAGTCCTCAGCACCACATAAAAGTAAATGAATAAAATAAAGGTATTGTGTCCACCTACGACTAAAAATTTTTTTAAATAATAAAAAAAGAAGCCAATGTGGTCCTTTCCAGGTCCAAGTGGCCGGGAGTGTTTGCTTGTGTACCTAGAGAAGCTGCTTCTGGTCTCAGAGTGTTCTTGAGTCTCCGGTAAAGGAGGGTGTGTGTGTGAGGAGCCCATGTGGACGGGAGCCTCTGGGGAGGCCTCCTCTCTCCCCAGGTTGTGTCCATAACTCGAACAGAAAGGCAGCAGCTGCCATCTGGGCTTCCAGAAGCCATCAGAATGCCACGCCAAGCCCTGCGTGGACCCGCAGGTGGCCTCTGTTCCCCATGACACTCAGGCCCCCTGGCAGCCCTGCTCACCCTGGGCCACCAGGGATGGGAGCAGACTTTGGCTCAGGAGTTCCCAGGAACAGTCCGGGTGCTTCAGAGAACTCCAGCCCCTTCCCGGCCCGGCTGGTTCTGCCTGGAGTCCCCTTTTGTGTACACAATGAGCCC